GTATTCATTACACATAAACTAGCGAGCCCCAGAATGAGAAACAAATTTTAATCATTATTATTGACGGATTAGTAAACTTTTTACACGCTTTGGAAAATCTCAGAAGTTCGCGGTAGTCACTTTTCGGTAAGGAACTAGGGGACTCGGTTATTGTATCGAGGGGGGGGTCGAAACGATCGCAAAGGCGGTATACTACGTATACGCGCCAAAAATCTCCCAAACTGCGTCTTTTTGTTCGTCCGGGAAATGATCAAAATACTCGGCATGCATTAAGACGTATCAGGTTCATGCATTTTTTTATACTTTTATTCTCTCACGAAAATTCCTTATTTATGAGACACTCCGGATTTTATGTGAGTTTCCAATTTAAAACACTTATATCACATTTACGCTCATGATTATTTTACCTTGACGGACACGGTGATGCTGATATCTGCAAGGAACTCGATGAGTAAGGTCCGAGACAACTTTCAGGTGATCTGGGTTCAGGTTTAACGACTGGAAACAGACGAAACAAACAATAAACAATATACGAGCGCTAGCGCTATTACTCTGAAAAATTTTGTCAAATTGATTAAGATACGATTTTTTGCCAATTCAAAATCATGAAAATTCGGTTTTATGACTAGCGCAACTGACCCATAATTGGACGCATTTCTGCCAAACGGAACTATGTGCATCATGACGCGAGCCCTGTTATGCATATATTCTTAAGGGTCTCAGGGCTCATGTCTCAATGCACATAGTTCCGTTTGGCAGAGATTCGTTCAATTGTGTCTCGATCATCCGCGCTACCTCTGATCTCAATCAATGCAAGGGGGAAAAACACCTCATAATACTGTGCAGTGGCGAGACGTGAATGATCGATTATCGATATTTCCCCATTTTAAACCTTGGTAAAGAATCGATTATTAAGGTGGCCGTTGCGAGCACCCTGTAAATCGATCCTTTTCCATAGATTTATGTGGCAGATTAATTGATATCAGGGCCGGATTAAGGGGGTGGGGTGGCCACATGGTCCACGGCCCATGGCGGCAAATTCAAAGGGCAGCAAATTTTGCAATTTTTTTAAAAAATAGATATAAAAAAATCGGATTCCGAAAAAAATTACAAACGAGAAAAGCGTCTTTCGGTGACACAGGAGACGGCACCTTCAAGTAGTCAAGTTAAGAGAGAAACCAAACACGCAATTTGGCATGGAGCGACGCGGCGCAGAGAGGAATGAAGATGAGGACTTGAGGATGAAAAGGAGAAGCCCTCAGCGCGGCGGTCGGCATGTAACACATATTAGCACCTGCAAGACTGCATGAATACTACACGCATTGCGCCAAACACAGTGCGGTCAGCGTGAAACGCATAGCGCCTACAAGACTGTAGGAATACTACACGCATTGCGCCAAACACAGTGCGCTCAGCGTGAAACGCATAGCGTCTACAAGACTGTAGGAATACTACACGCATTGCGCCAAACACAGTGCGGTCAGCGCGGCGCGGCGGTAGAGGTTAAAGTAATTAAACCACATTCATGTTTCTTCTTGCATAATTTTTACGTTCATTTCTTACAAATGGAAGGCCTTGTTCACACAGAGATAGGTTTACGGAACTTAACTTTCGCGCAAAGTTCCGTGAACTTTTGCTAGTAGTGTTGACAGGACCTTCGCACAAAAACGTGTCCAACACGCGTGAACGCGTCTTATGCACCCCTCTCCTCCCCCTCCGGCACGTCCTCTTGATGGTTTTTATTGATGTTTCAAAACGAATGAGAAGGGGGCGGCCCATGGGCGGCAAGTAGATAAATCCGGCCCTGATCGATGTATCGCGACTTCGCGAGCCACGCCACTTATACTGCGTTACTTTTGGACCAAAAAGAATCTCCGAACAGCTATCGCGGAAAATGCGAAAACCGCATTTCGAACAAAACATCTAACTTGAAGCTTTGAAGAAAAGTATAAAAAACCCGAGTGGAGGTATACAGGGATGACAAGCACAAGATGATGTAACCAGTTGGAAATCGCAGCGGGTGCCAACGTTCAAAAGATGGTCCCGAATAGACGGCCGCTCAATCCCTCACACCCCCTCCCCGCCCCGCCCCACCCCCGATCCCTCCCCGGTTTTCCAGTGTTACAGCGGTGAAGATTCCTCCTTCTTAATCTTTGAATGAGCTCGTATTTTCGGAAATTAGTTATAATATTTTCCGAGACTACCGTGAGTGACATGCCTTTGAGTGCGTCGCCGTTATTCAATTTTCGAGCGACGCGCATGTGAGCAGAGAAGCTCCCGTGGAGACTTTCTCTCCCCTCCCCCCTTTCCACTCTTTTCCCAAGCTGTGACTTTCTCGAACAGCGTTAGCCTCGCTTTTTCGATTTAGAGCCGATGTTCCCTGTGGGGAATACGATCCACCAAAACAGGTTGGTCGGTAATTTTCATTTTAATTCTTGCATTTTGGATAAAGAGAGAGCACAATCGGTTTTCAGGAATTTTTTCAGAATTTCCTGAATGCTATGCGAACTCATAAAGAACAAAGTCCAAAGTTGCGTATTTTTAGTTTCTTCTCAAATACGCTTCGGCGAAAAAGCCGAGATGGTTTCCGAAAATATCCCTATCGCCCTGGTTTCATTTTTTTAATTTTTCTAATCATTAAGTTAAAATGTTCCGGTTTTGACTGTTGCCCTGATCATCAACGAGAAACCCTTTTTGGAGAGTATCGAATATCTGAGCCCCTAGGGGGTAGGGCTAAGGAAGAGAGCATCTTCCCTCAAAAAATATCGTCATTTTCAAATGAGAGCCCCTGACTTATGACACGTCAAATCATGGCGTATTGAGCTAGTGCTTCTTTTGCTCATTTTGATAGATCTGTGGCTGATATATCTAATTTAAGAGGACGAAAAAAAATGGTCGTTAAAAAAGTTTATTTCAACCAATAGGTTCGCTCCATACTCCCTATCTCTCCATACTCCTTCAAAAGTTCCGGGATTCAGATATTTTTTGTTCCAATTTCTGTCACTCCATGACCGTCTAAAGTTTCGGTTCCTTCTAGATTTTTCCAAAAGTTCCGAGAAAGTTCCGGAAAATGCAAAAGATCCTGATTGTTTCGGGAATTTCAAAAGTTCCGGGAAAAATTCCAGGAAATCTCTAAATTTCCGGAATTCGGAACTATTTCCGGGAAGTGGGAGCACTGCTAAGGGCCCTTTTCTGAGGCAAGGAGCAACCCCCTATCCCACCCTCATCCAAAGCAGCACCGTTCCAGTGTCCCGAAGATTTTCCACGGGGCCAATGTCCATCCTCTCCTGATGAAGACACTGGGGTCATCCGGAGAGGGGAGGCTCCCCAGTCTGCTCCGGCGTCATTAGAAACAGCTGATTTTGAAATTAGCGGGGGGGGGGGGGGGGGGGCAAGGGGGT